ATATATATATATATATATATATATATATATATATATATATATATATATATATATATATATATATATATTATCGTGTGCTCAAGAGAAGAATATATTCTTTTTACAATAATATTACAAGACTTTATTAAAGAAAAAGCTGGACTCTATATGGTAAGCAAACCGAATTTTTGCTTTAATTTCATATTTTCGATTTAAATGTCAAACTTGCTAAAGTTCAGAATGTATTTTGAATAAATTTAGTGCTTATGATCTCAATGTGTAGTTACACAATGACGCATCTTTTTGGAACATCGTTTTTCAGAACATACACGAAGTACATGGTGCATGCAAGGCCCAAAGTGCATCACGTATGTGAGATCCGAAAGTGCCGCGGAAAGTACTCCATTCGAGGGTTCTTCGAGGAATCGCGAAGGGAGGATCCGAGACGGACGCGAAATTCGCGAGAGCGACAGGAATGTATCCGGCCACACGCGAAGGCGCGCCGGTGTTTGCTGAGGAAACAGCCGACGCGGTGGCCGGAATACGCGACACGCGTGTTGCGAATTGTATTAACAGCGGTTCGGCGTGTGCGGCCCCGAGAATCGGGCGTGTGCGCGATGTTGTTGCATCTCCCGTGAAACTCAGGCCGACTGATCAATGGCCCTCTTTGCGAATAATACGCCCCGACGCTTCTTGCGTGTCAGAGATAACAATGCCTCGGAAACTCGCCGGTTTTGTACGGCGCAAAAAGAAACTACCACTCGAGGAACAATCCGTGTTCCTCGTCACTTTGTATTAACGGAGTGTAACGTTGCGCTTTACCGTCACTGTTATATCTTCATCTAAAAAACGGTTTTAAGCATGCACTGCCCACATCTCGAAAATAATATTGGAGAAATTTTTAAAAAATTACGGGTTACTATATTGTACCTAAAACTGATCCAAACAATTTGACATTGATTCAAGGCCTGGATCAAAACTAGTAGTCCAATTCATTGGGACCATATTGGTTACAAATTAAATCCCAATATTGTTCAGTATTGGCCCAGTATGCTTTGTATTTTATAGCCAATATATAGAATTTTGAATATTGACCATTTATTTGTTACCAATATTAGCTACATATTGAGTTATATTGATCCAATATACCCCCAATGTATGCCAATATTGATACAATCATCTTGTGCAATACTGACAATTTATTCACATTTCATTTATAACCAATGTTGGCTATACATTAGCTATGTTGGTTCAATGTAACCGATATTCGGCCAATATAACGCTAATGAATTGTGCTACTAGGGAAGTTATTTTATTTCGAAGTATAAATCCTAACAAACATAATGACATCAAATGACGTATTAGTAACGTATTATTGACATTAAACATATTAATGATTTATTAAAGTGTCATTAATATATCATTTGAAATCATCCTGCTACTTGAGAATATTTTTCCCATTTTGTTATGGGAATCTATAATTTTGCTATTTTAAGGCCCGCAAAAAGTAAAAACTTCCATTCCACCTTCTTTTCTTTTGCAACAATTGACTTATTACATGACAGCCGTTACTAATCGATCGATTAATTGGCTCTTTTATCCTGTTTTATTTAGACTCTCT